CATGTACCAGCTTTACATGGAAGTTCAGCTTTGGACGTTGAGTATATGACTTATCACACTGCAGGCAATGGTGGCGTGTTCTATCCATCAAAAACATAGATTAAAGTCTTTATACATGCACACGTTAAAAAAAACATAGTCAATCATAAATCTAAACCACTTATATTTAACGTTGTAGCCATTTCCATTTCCATTTCCATTGTCAATTTATATTTAGTATGAACTTCAATAAAACTATGCTGGGAACAGTATATCTAAGTCAATATATATGTTCCTGAACTATGCAAGTAACTTGCCCTTCTTTGAAGTGATTGTTGCATTTTTCGATATAAAGATATGATTGCACTTCCCCTCACGCATTCACGGTGTCCTCAATCAGAACCGATCCCCTCACGCATGGAATAATGAAAATTGGCAGTTTTTAGATTTATTAAGACGTCTATCAATTTCGGACAGCGTACACCCCACCCAAAACGACATTCAATCCCGTTGACAGAAAAAAAACTAAATTTGAACTTGTAGGTCTGTTAATAGAACCATCTCAAAATCTAAATGTCACTTTTTTCGGCAATTACTCGTGGGACGATTGATTTTGTAGGAGTTTTACTCCATGCACAACAGTAAATGATACATGCGTCTCTTCGTTAAAGTATTCACCACAGCATAGCATTCTCCGATTTTCAATATTTTGATCAGTTAAATTAGAAAATTGCGATTTAGAAATGTACATACCTTTCGAAGCGGTGACAATTACTCCACTCAAGCATAACCGGAAAATCCTCTCACGGTTTTCATTGCAGAACCGATTGTTCTGCGTGTGTAGATTACCAGCCGTGTATATGTGTAACAAAAACATGTTTACTAATAATATTGAATGCTGGTATTTATCCATACATTACATTTTTAAAAAGCTGAATATTCATAATTTGGAGGTAAAGCTTAACTTTTTTATCAAGTCAGTTAAGCAGAAACTTCGTAATAGTTTTGTAAAATTTTGGAACACAAAAAGAACAGATACAAAGAGTAGTAGATTAGATACTTATTTCAAACTAAAAACTTGTTTTTCTAAAGAAATGTACCTATCTTTAAACAATTTTCAATTGAGAAGTGCCATATGTAAAATCAGAATCAGTGCCCATGATCTCAAAATAGAAAGAGACAGGTATAAATTTTTATATATAGAAAGATACCAAAGGCTTTGTAAGAAACATGAGAAATGTACTCTAAATCTGGTTGAAGATTAACAACATTTTATTACTAGTTGTCCAGCATACAAAGATGATAGGGAGATATTTTTCAAGGAGATAAACAGTATTTGTCCTAATTTTTCATATCTCTCTAATGAGGCAAAATTTGTTTGGTTATTTACTAATGAAAATTTGTCTGTACTTAAATATTTAGGGAACTATATTATTACATGTCTAGATGTTAGACGAAATGTAAATTAATGTATGTAATAACAATGATAATTGTAATGATTTTATGGTTCTGGTTCTGCCTGGAATTAAATGTATGTGATTTATATAGAATGGAGATAATAACATGTCTGAACTTTTTAATGTTTCATTTCAATGTATAAAAAAAATGTTTTTCTGTTACAAATCATGATGTATTATTGTATGTGTACATGTCATGCTGCCCATCATGGGCCCTTGATTGGAATAATAAATCTTCTTCTTCTTCTTCTTCTTTTCGCGAATTAGAACTACACCTTTTCATTGATATCATTTGGTGCCAAAGTTTTTAATTTTCTTATCCAAAATCTTTCCCGAGCGATTCTATCCTCCCTAGACCAAGCAGTGTTGTGGTCTATGATTGTAATGGTCAGTCGATTGAGATCTGCCTTAGTGTTGCCAGGGGATCTCAAATGTCGACTGAGAGGAAGGTCTGGCTTGCATTCATAGTCGCTACGATGGCCGTTCATACGTTTGTGAAATGGCTGTTCTGACTCGCCAACATACTGTTTACCACATTTACACTGTAGAAGATACACAACATTTGTAGTCTTGCAATTAACATTGCAAAATATGGTGTATTCCGTACCAGTGGAGTGACTGTTAAAAGTCTGGGTATTCAGTATTTGCTTGCAAGTCATACATCGTTTGTTTCCGTATCCCTTGCAAGAGCCCACAGACGAAGAGTCTGATTTAGAGGATAAATCAGCTCTCACCAGTAATTCTTTAAGGCTTTTGGGCCAACGGAAAGCCAGTACAGGTGGCTCTGGAAAGATCTTGGATAGTTTAGGATGTGTTTCGATTTCTTTCCAATTTTTGCGGATAAGGTGTGACAACTTGGGATGGTACAAACGGTATCATAAGCGCTATATATGTTACCATGATTATATTAAAAAGTGTCCAACATGCTCGTGTCCAACATGCTCAACAGACCTAGACTATCATTCATACTTTTGAAAAATCTTGGTCTGCCTCTTTTGATTGAATACTTGAATTGCATAATTACATAACATGAAATAAGCAGGAGTTTTCATAATTTACAACAGGACAATAACAAAAAAACATATAACTACCATTGTATTTTTAATGAGGTGTATCATAGAAATAAGAAAATGTGGTATGAGTGCCAATGAGACAACTCTCCATCCAAGTCCCAATGTGTAAAAAGTAAACAATTATAGGTCAAAGCACGGTCTTCAACACGGAGCCTTGGCTCACACCGAACATCAACCACTGAACAACAGTCTCCTGACTTAGGACAGGTGCAAACAAATGCAGCGGGTTTAAACGTTTTAACAGGCGCCAACATTCACCCTAACCTGAAACAGTAGTGTAACATTACAACAGAGAAAGACACACTATAAAATATCAATCATACATACTTTACTGAAACATTACAGCAGATTTTGATTTATATAAAAAAAAAAAGGGGATTAAGGTATATTTAAACCTGATCGCAACCCAATAACAACATGTATTTCGGGGGGAACATTCAGTCTTCTTTGTCTTGCTCTAAATTGCCTGGTGTCTAACCATTGTAAATGATCGAAAAGAAATAATCAAAGATCTTCTATCAACACACATTCTTGAAATAACGAAAAACAAATATTTTACTAAAATTGATCACTGCCAGGGTGCCTTGCCATGGACAGTCTCTTCTCCTCTTCCCCCTTTTTCCAAATCTCGATCAGAAGTTACAAAATGTACACAAAAATAACTTCTTTTGAATGAATCTTTTTTCAATCGGTGATTCATTTGTAGAATAGATTAAACTAAACTAAAATGACAAATACATATATGTATGGACTAAATATGCAATTCAAATGAAATGCACCTAAGTGCATACATGTTCTTTATATCAACAACAGTTTACACATTATTTCAAGGAAGGCTATGATTGGGAAAATTCATCCTCTCCAAAAAAAAGTTTTTGGAGTGAACTATGATGCTCTGGATGATAACTTTACTACTAGTATTTATGCATGACAGTCATGAATGAAGAATAGAATGAAAAACAGCAATACAAGTGCTGTTCCTTTGCTGTTTGTATTTTTTGTATTTTTTGCTATGCACGTACTGATTTTGTGTCATGGATGGATACTCCCAGAGGCGGATTTAGGGGGGGGGGGGTCAGATACCCGGGTCCCGTTATTGAGCTACATATATGGTTAATGCATACATTTTTTTCATGTCCCACTCCAAACGTTGCCTAGTTTGGGGTCCTGGGCCTCCTCCTACATCCGCATCTGACCCCATATCCTTTCTTTTCTAGTATTCATGGAATTTTACATCTGTGATGCAATGGCTTGCTAAGTTGGTGTCTCTCAATAACAAAGAAATGTGCACTCAGTGTTGTTTTTACCTCAGTTGAAATTTATCAAGTGTTATTTTTATTTGATACCTTTTGTAGTTTCAATATAAACATGAACGAGCAACAAAGAAAATAAAGTAGAACTAACGCAAACACTAAATGAAGAGAACTCAATTGATAGGAAGTGAGAACATGTGTATTAGGAAAACATTAATTTTATTCAAAAACATGGTCAATTCATATGACATGTTCATGGGAAATTCACGTGAGAGCTCAATTCACGTGAAATATGTATAAGCTCGATTCTCATGAAATTCATATGAACTTTTTCACACGGAAGCCAGGTAAGCAAAATGTGCCTTAGTATGGATTACCTTGCAACAAGCCACTTACGAACCCCTCAGATAGTTGTTGCAAGGTTTTTTAGGTGCAGAGACCTTGGCACTCATACAACACGAGTAATCTGATTAAACATCCCACACAGACAAACGGACGGTCCTCTTTTGCAAGGGTATTACTGTCTGAACAAGAGAAGTCGAGAAGCCCTAGTTCTATAACCCAACCAACTCTTGCTAACGTGCTATAACGATGTCGACGTGTTAAAAATATATACATTTTGAACCCAGAAAAATATATACCGCCTCGGTGGTCTCGTGGTTAATGATTAATGAAACCATGCCTGAAGTAATTTTAGAAATGCATAATTGTATGTTGTATTAATATTAGTGTACAATGTATTTTAAAATATACACACACATGCAATATAGTTCCTTATAGGTGCACGAAGAGAGCAGTCGTGTAGCCTTATTCAATCCTTTTTTTAATGAAATGAACATTTGGTTCAAATCAAACCGCGGTTATCATTAATATAAGTATAAATAGATAAGAATATACTTATGGATACCCTTTTGTCACGGCGTTTAATTGTTTATATTTATTGACCCCTCTCTGCCCACCCAAAAACAGCCCACACAAATACAAACTTCACAACAAAGAACAAAACATTAAACATATCAAATATAACAAAAAACAAAATAAAATAAAACATAGGCAGAACAAATTTGCTTTTATAAATTTATAAAACAACACCAGATCCTTAATTTATTTTCCGTATAAACAAAGCAAAACAAAACAAAACAAAACAAATGAATCTTCTCTGTAATTATCAAATAGCTCTCTCAGTTTTAACAATTTATTACCGTCCGTTAAGTCTCATCCAATGATGTTATCACAAATACAATAAGAGATGTGTGTATACCCCTCAGCTGACCCTCATCACTACACAAACATCAGTTGCCATCATGTCACGTAAAGAATGTTTATTAAAATTATACGGAATTATATGCTGTTTTCAATCAGGTAAGAAGATTGATTTACATTTTTTATGAATTAGAATTCAGAACAAAAAAAATGTTTAGAAATACTTGAGTATTATAATATCATGAATATGTTGATATTGTTAATAATTGCCCTATGGCTACTTGTAGAACAACGTATACATGAATTTGTTATTTTGATATTTTTATACGTCGAACGATCCTCACAGACTCCATGCAGGACTGCCTATTTACGGACCCAAATGAATAAAGATACGAACTTCCGGTACACCCATCTGATGTTCAAGCTAGACTATTGTCTTTTATAAACCCTGGTATAAATTTTATGAAAAAACAAATTTATTGTATAAGTAACACCAGTGTAACATTTATATTTCAATAAGAATTTTACTATAATCGTTGAGCTTTGGTTGGGATGGCAGCCCCTCCAACCCCCACAAGCTACATTGTTTATAACTGCATAATCATCAATGTTTTAGTAGAACATGTAGTGTAGAAGTTTCATGTTTTATCTCATGCTAATTTCAGCGCAAACGATTGATTGAATAAACATGCATTTTCTCGTTCATAGATATCTTTATGTTCTAATAAATCAAACTAAACCGAACATAAAATATTTATCTAATAAAAACAAACACTTGTTTATAGGGATACCTCGCCAGTATTTGTGCAGCAAGTTTTATTTTATCAAATCTATGTTCAAAAGTTTGGATCCTCAGCGGTCAGTGTGATTGATTGATTGTTCGTTAAGCAACCAACAATCAATCAATCACACTGACCGCTGTGGATCCAACTTTTGAACATAGACGATCTACAAAATAAAAAATCTGTATGTAATAACATAATCATCATATAAAAAAAAATGACAATGAAAAACAAATGTTGCCACAAAAAAAGGTACAGTGCTCAAATATTTTATACTTATTGACTAGGTATGACTGGAATAGTAAGTTTATTGTCCCCCGAGTAGCAACTATTACCCTAATACAATAGGTAAAACGTGACGTCGTAACTCCTGTGGTTTTCTCAACATCCTCCAATCCCGAAGCTGCAGTTGGAATTCCGCGAAATATAATGACGCTTGCGGTCAAATAGTTTCATCGAGGGCAAATAGTTGGAAACTATTGACCGATTAAATAGTTCAACGCTTACAATTTGAAAAAATAGTGAAAATATTGTGTACTTATTTTATATAGAAAATGATAACTGGGGTATAATAAATAATCATATTCTGTATATTATGGGTGGTTGCGAATGAAATTTTGGCATAATACCATCCAATGATATTTAATTTGAAATTAGATAATAGACTTGTTTAAAATAAGCATGCAGACAAAAAAATGAAAAAGTAATAATGGATGCACTTCGACGCGGTTTGCAGACACATCAGATTACTTATTGGTGACACACAAAACAGGTTAAACGTTGTTTGTAAACAAAACAACGTATAAAACTTCAAACATAAAGACGTGTTCATCTCACATTAATAAATACATGTAGATATGGACTTGATACTTAAAAAAAGAAATCGACGTTTGTCGTTGTGATGAGAGTGATGCTGCACCAACTCCCTCAGATAAAGTTGACCATAAAAGGATTCGATGGTTGTGGTTATTCCTTTAAGATCCATTGTGATCCTATAGCTCCTCCTGAGTTTGTAAATCTGTGGCTTTCACATTTTTCATCATCATCATCACCATCCTCCTCCTCTTCCTTCTTCTACTCCTCCTCCTCTTCCTCCTCCTCCTCATCATCATCATCAGCATGTTCATGAGGAAGTTAAATCCAGAAAACACTACGGACACTTGCACCAATGAGGTATTGGGAAATTTCCCTGTATTTGTTTCGCTTGATTATAGTGTCTAAATGTAAATGTTTAAACTTTTTCAAACTATTTTTGAATATTTTGATAAAATCAAAATGTTAGTATGGGTAACATGTTGCTGTTGAAGGATTCTAATATCAACTTTTTCTGAGTTTGTCTAGATTTTGATGCACGTTAAATTTTTGTAGAAAAATTTTACGTGTGTTTTCTTTTTTTTTTATTTTGTAAATTTTCAAACTTTTCCATGTGAGGCTAAACGTTTTATCTCCAATTTCTATGTAAAGTATCTTCAAGCTATTGAAAATGTAAATCCGTCAATTTTGAACCAGATAAGGTTCTTAATTGTATTGAGATATAAGGGGAAGATATTGACAGACATCCACTTCACAGCTTTTAACAGATACGACTCCAACACTGACTACCTCTATAATGTTGTGGGTTTTGTGGTTAGCTTTGTGGTTATTATCAATATTTCTTTTAAAAAAATCTTTTCATTTGACAGTTTCAGGGTTTGCAGCAGGACCACCCTTTTCAACATGTCTGACACTCTTCCCAAAACATCACGGACTAGAAGCACAAACAACAGAACCGCCATATACCATAGATATACAGGAAAATGATTACATTCCTGGACAAGACATTCACAGTAGGTATCCCTTTTCACACTTGATTTTACTGGAAAATAGGCACAACATAACTTACCATGCACGAAAATGTCTATTTTAGTAGCAATCCCGTAATTTTGGATTACAAACCAATAAAATATTCGTATTCGTGCACGTGGGCAATGATCGTTACAGCACCGAAGAAAGATTGTGTAAAGGGGTTAACATATCTTAGTAATTATTGATATTGAAATATGCATAAAAACTACATCTCCGTACATGCTTGATGAATTGTTTAATTACCATTGACAAGTTAACACATAATTTTTTGCATGAATTATCAAGGTAAACTGTCAAATGTTAAAAACAAAGATAGTGGTAATAAGAAGATCTTCAATCAAACAAAGATAGTGGTAATAAGAGGATCTTCAATCAAACAAAAAATGGTAAACATACTTTAATGTCATTATGAAGTTAGACCTTACCACTTATTTATGTAATTCATCAATTAAGTATTACATTGCATAGATGTTTTGTGAGGATTCCATCATTCTGATTGACAGAAAACAATAATGAGGTGTTTTGAAGTCTATGTATAATATCAAATTGGTTGTTGTATATTTTCTCATTGATAATACTTACATTTGCAAGTATGAATTAGTCGTTTGTGTGTTTTTCGGTAACAAACGCAACATCAATGACAAAGTTTCAATAATGCGTAGGAATATCAAAAGCAAATCAACCAAAGAACTTTATTTATTCTTAATTTCTTAGTTTTAGCATTTATATGTTACAGTAATTTAAAGATTTGAATGCTTATTTTATTAAAGTTTTATAAGAGTTTCTTTAAAATCGCTGGCAATGCGCACTTTTTATATATTTAGCGATTGATGCAAAACTGTGACGTGCCTATGTCAACAATTAATCATCCCTAAAGATACTCCCGAAAGAAATGTTTAATCATTTTAGGTTTTGACAGCAAAATATCACATTGTTCATCAACATCTTCAACATATAGGACCTTTAACAGCTTTTTTGCAGTTTTTGTTTTTGTTTTATTTATCTGAATAATTGTATTCACCTACAATTTACACCATTTATCCCCCCCCCCTTTTTTTTAAACTGGATATAACAGTGAAAATGTTGACCCTATAATAAAAAATAATAACTTTATTCATGTTTAATGCCCTTTAATCAATACAAATAGAATAATCTTAATTTAATGAAACAGTTGTTTGTGAACCTGATAGAGATTTCTTCTGTGCTGATAAATGTTATAAGACTTCTTTTTGTTGAAAACCTTCAGATGCCCCCAGCTTTAAATATCTGTTATAACCAGTACATGTATACTTGGGTTTTTATTTCATATTTATGATAATGAATGCGTCGTAAGCAGGGCCGCAACTACATTGAGGCAAATGAGGCAAATGCCTCATGTTGGAAATTTCCACACAAAAAAAATAAGTTGAAACAAAAGCTTGTCTTCATATATGTAAATTGAGAATAAGTGCACATGATCTTAAAATTGAGAAAGATAGGTATAGTAAAAAATACATAGAGAGAAGTCAGCGTCTATGTCATCACTGCCTATCACATGGATCAAATTCTATTGAAGATGAGACCCATTTCACAGTAAGTTGTCCTTTATATAACGAACAGAGAAAATTATTATGGGATAAAGTAAACAGTTTTTGTAATAATTTTAAAGAATTACCCAAGGATAAAAAATATTTCTGGCTGTTCACAAATGAGCATTTACCAACTCTTATGTGCCTAGGCAATTATATAATTAAGTGTTTAGAAATAAGATCCAGGTGGATACAAAATATATAAAATTATTATGCAATTATTGTTAATGTTATGTAAGACACATGATGTGTTAGGCTCTGATCCTGTCCAATATATGATAGTATTATATTAGGATATAGTTTTTCTTTTTTCCAATCATATTGTGCTTAATATTGTTGTAAATGATGCCCTTTATGGGTTCTTGATTAGATTAATAAAATTCTTATCTTATCTTATCTTATTAAATTGTTTTCACGGCGATTGTCTTGCAAGGAGCAAGTTCTGTTCACCCTCTGACGTCGTCCCTGTTTTTTCGGGATCCATATTTCTCATTTATTTTTAGTCTGCAGTGTTGATTGTCTATTGTTTGTCGTTATGTGTCTTATATCTGTTCCCAGGGTTGTCTTTTGTTCATTTAATTTGTAAATTAGTAATTTTGTTTTAAACTTGAGTTTTATAATATTTAAGGACCTTTTGTCTAATTTTAAAAACTACTTTAAATTGTAAAATTATTTGAAATTAGCTCTCGCATTTTTGTTCTGAGGCGGCGTTAAGCGAACACCAATCAATCAATCAATCAATCAATCTTTATGACTATGGCTTCAGTTGTCTAATATTCCTTGTTGTGAACGTTAATTCTCTGCTTTGCGTAAACTTAAGACTTGGGAAAGATCTACGATGACTAGTGAACGGTCATTTGTGGTTTGGCAATGTTACCGATGTCCAGATATTGTTCGAGAACATTGTTTTAAGAAGATACGATGCTACCGGATATCGAAAAATTCGTCGTTTTGTCATAGAAAAATTAAACTTTATATTAAACAATACAAAACTGGCTCCCTTTTCTGTAAATAAAACTAAAACGCTGACATGGGTTAAATTAAAGTGAGACAACCCAATCTCCCGGAATCAAATCATTTAAAAAGAAAATAATGTATTGCCATGTGACCTTTTACATTGAAGGACTAAACTGACATTGAGCCGTGTTCAGGCCCTAAAATAAAAAATAAAGGGACATGGAGGAAATGTGCATGGGACAAAATCGCACACAATACATAGACAAAATACAAATTATCAATGAACAGTCGCTGGAGGGTCTTCAACAATGAACGAATCATTCATACCCTACAACAAGGTCAAGACGGCCCCTAGCGTCGACTTAAGCGGTACTTAAAGTATTATACTGTGAATAAATTTTAAAGTCACAAAAATATTACACCAAAGTCTTAACACAATACAAGACCAGAACAGACAGATACGACATTAATCAGCCGATATACATATCAAAACTGCACAAAACAATATACCAATGAGGTCTAAGAACTGAGTCTACCCTGAGTGTACCCTTTTATCCCAGTTAGGAACTACATCAACTTGTAATTGAATTATGTTATAAAACTGAATTCACATAGTTATATCAATGATAATCAGCCCCCTCCTAACTTAATTTGAAAAAAAACATAATTGACAGGTACATGTATAATACGTTTTTCTAAAAGCCAAAACTCCATAACAAAAAAAACATAAAAACAGCAGCCACACACTTGACTATGTGAATTACGAATTTTGCGTTATATAACATATCGGTCTTTTGATGTTGTCCCTAAAAACTAAAAAGTCTTACACTGAATCTATATATTTTGCTTTGAGACCAGAATATTATCGAAAAAATAATTAGAACAAAAGTTGCTTTTTAGTTTAAGAAAGGGCCCGGGAAACTCTCAGAATGCACGATTTTGCGTATTTTCCCCCCAGACCCCTCGGCAAATAAATTTTGCCTCACTTTGAAAAGAGGTTAGTTACGGCCCTGGTAAGTATGAACAACTATTAAACATAATTGAATGATATTGAAATATAAAAGTAAACATTAATGTCAATACGTATTAATGATGAAAAAACTGCTTTACTTTTAAAAATATGAAGCAGTTATTGATATTGTAATCCCTTACGGCCTCTTTTGACGATAATTGACATTGAGAATGAAGTGATCGTTATTTAAATTGGGGTGCGTTTGACTAAAAGTCCTAAAACATTAAAGACTTCTAGAAATTTGAATAGACATTAGACATTATTTTTATTTACCAATCATGGGCCCTGGTCAGGCAAGATATATAAACATCATAATACAATAATAATAATTATAAAATATGCAAGTTTTTAGTGAAAATACACAATACACAAAGAAATAAAGTAAAATATGAGCAATATAGGATAGTATTACAGTATGAAGCATTTAGTGTAATGAGGTCGATTCTATATATATAAAACAAATTAGATATAAAATTTATCAACAGGGAACAATAGAACCAGAAATATAGTTTCTCATTTTGTAGTAGTTCTCCTCATGACCAGTGCACAGCTGCGAGGAACTTTATATCACCACAATGCAAAGGTCATTCAGAACCAGCTACAGATATTATGAGATTTTCCCCAATAGTGGTTCTCCTCATGACTAATGCACAGCAGCAAGGGGTTGACATTTCTACTGAGCAAGAGTCATCAAGGGACGGTGCTCTAGAACTCACTAAAGGGAAGTTATAAACTTCAAATGATAAGAAGAAGCCATCAAAACTTTTCATATTTCTTAATGAATATGCACAATTCTGATAACAATTTCTCATCTCCATTATTCATTAACCATATCAGTTTTTTGAAAGGGTCTAGATTATTAAAATTCTTACCACAATTATTTATTATTGTTATCATACATGTATCTTTTCGTTTGTCAGATAGACTATCACAGTTAAAAAGAAAATGTGTTTCATCTTCGACCTCATTACTACAACATCTTTGACATACTCTATTGTGTCGTGGAGTATTATTATATCTACCTCTCTCTATAAGTAAATGGTGATCAGATATACGAAATCTTGTTAGACTCTGTCTTTCTTCAAATTTTTTAACAATATTTTTCGCAACCAAAATTGGATTTAATAGTAACATATGTGCATAGTTTCCCTTCTGAGTGATTATTGATATTTTTTCCCCAATCTTTCAACATGGCAATTTTAAGTTTTCTGTTGTCAATTGGATTCTTTCAACATAGCAATTTTAAGTTTTCTGTTGTCAATTGGATTACCCCTGTCAGAGGATGTTAGACAATTATTGATCAGTGAAAAAAGTTTCTTAGACGACATATACCACGACGGTTTCTTTGACTCATACAATTTCTTAGATTTCAAAAAGGCATTGTATAACAATGGGAAGTTAGTGCCAGATTGTTCTAATCTGTAATAGTATTTAATCATTGCTT